ATGTAATCAGTTCATATTTTTTTATAAGTATTCAAAATGAAGGTATTTTGTGTTTTTCTCTCTGAAGGACGTGTGTAGATTCAACATCAAGTTGTTTACGTTTTTCAGGAAAAAAAAATCTCCAAAAGTTATCTAAACAAATGAATAGTTTTGATTTTCATAAATTTTAATCGAATTATGATGTGTTTTATGCAAAAAAAAAATAAATAAATAAATAAATAAATAAATTTTAAAAAAAAATACTTTTCTACGTTAAATTTTAACGGCTGAATTTTGCGAGGTATGTACTATGAGACAGGTTGAATAAAATTAAGCATGAAAAGACACGTGTGTGATTGAAGAATAAAATAAAAGGCACTTGTATTAAGGCCTTTTTAGTTAGTTTATGAGTTATTTAAGGCATTCAAGTAAAAAGTATATTAATGTGACAGAAATTTCTGAAAGCCCTGACCTACCTGATAGGGACTTAGACACAGATTTGAAGTTAATATTTTCTCAAATTTTCTGTACAATATCATGACTTAAAAGTTGCTATAGCATTTCACACAGAAGTAAAATAAAAAAAAAAACTTGTTTTATCTGGAAACTATTGAAACTACGAAATTTTGGGACGCGTTTGATTGACACATCTTTGCACATTCACAAAAGTAAACTTTACCCTTAACACTTAAGAAAAGTAGTGTAAATTTTGTTGTGTATTGATAACAGTTTATAAAGTTTAACAAATTGAACACACCCAGTGAAACATAAACTGTTTTTGTAAACAGATCACGAGCTCTGTAATTGTTAATGTTTACGTTTCACCGGATAAATGAATCTGGAAAGAAAATAAATAAAAGAACAAAACGTTGTACACCTAATATATCGATTCAAGTAGGATTTTTGAAGTTGATTTTCCGTCCGTCATTTGCCTTCAAAATTATCTGGAAAAAAAGGTTTTCCACGGAAAATTTGACGAAAACAATACTGTAAAACTCGGTTATAGCGAAGTTCTGGGGACCTGCGAATTTACTTCGCTATATCCGTAATTTGTTATATCCGTATTAAGAGTTCGTTAAAGTAAGCATAACAAATTAACAATGCAGATTTTTTTTTCATACATGTATGACTTCCAAATGAATTTAGGAAGTATAAAATGCAAAATCTACCTTTAGGGTTCAAAAGTTTTTCTCGAATTTGGGTTCAGAAATAAATACTTATAAAATAAAAGTCAGTTCAATATTTTGGAATTACTTCTGGTGACCTTTCTAATAAAAATATTCTTAAAATTTTGACCAATCAGTGAGATTGTACATAAGCGACATTCGGGAAACCGAGTGTAGAAATGAAAGTAGCTATAGATACGATGTTATCGTTTCGTACAAAACAAAGACCTTAAAAAACAAGACAAAAGCAAATACTAAAGAAATTCTGAAGAGAAAAGACTGTGGCTGGTTTTTTTTTGACATGCCACGGAAACCAGGTCACTATTTTTCGTCCGTGTATCATCGGGTGTTTCACTTCTGTAACTGAATTCCGAGATACTTCTAAATTCTTTGAAGCAAACGTATGATTGGGTAATAGAAAGATCACCAAGAGATGACCCTGAATGGGGTTTCTTCAGATCCTTCTGTAGGGATCTATGTGAGCTGATCAAAGGATCTGATTGTAATCAGATTGTGTGACATCAACTAGTCAGTGCCTTTCCTGTGTTTAAAATTCTGGAGGAGTGTACCTTTTGGAAAGGGCAAATCATTTACCATTAGAAAAAATCAGAATGTAGATTCATGTTCCGTTTTCTTTTGTGAAGCTTTGGAAAAGGTAATATTATATAATGACAACAGGCATACTATAGCTAGCAATCACGTGTACTCTTTCAGTACTTCCTAACTGGACAAGACCATTGAAACAGACAAAAAGGCAGCTTTTGCAAACTTAATTACGCCTTTTGCGTACTTTTACGTTGGTTTCTGGTGTCCTATAAATGTGCTATAAGGTTTCAGAATTTTGATTTTCACCATGGGATCCAAATGGGGGTAAGAATAGTTTTGAATTTATTTTTTTTTATTGCTTGTTTATTTACAAAAACCTGGTTTTCTGAACTCGTTTTACATTTTTCACAGTAACCCAATCATATCTTGGAATTAGTCTGGTGGGTCCTGTGCAGGTGTATTTTTGCAACGGAATTTTGATTTACATCCTGGAGGCGATTGGGGGTCAAAACGGTGTTTTGCAAAATTACAGAATTATTGTGGATTCTTCCCTTCTTACTCATATAGGTACATGTTAGACTGTCTTAAAACAGCATCTATTTGGATTTTTAACGCTTTGAGCTATTACAAAATGCATTATTCCGATTTCTATCATCATTTTTTCAGCATCTTTATATTTGTTGCATTATTCAAAGAATTATGTTATGCAGTTAGGTCTAAATCTTTGACATTCCGCTCATTTTACTAATGTTAAACAATTTTTGTTTGCTAACATAAATAAAAACTGTTGTAGTTTATTTTCTAAGTATAAAAATCCCATCTTTTTGATGCCTTTTTGGTACTCTTTTTTTAGAAACAGCTCACGGTAACCTACTGGTAGGTCGTTCGCTTCGTGATCGGTATGTTCATGTTTGGTTCTCGTTCGCCGCGCCGCTTCAAACTTTAGACATACATATAGGTAGTGACTGTTCCTTTGCCAAGCACCCAGTAGGCCTTGGCCCTGAATGTTGCATATAGGTCTAAGGATCGATCAGCACCAGTAACGTCCTTATATGAGTGACAAAAAGTCTCCAATGGGGCGTTAAACAACATACTACCAATTAATCAATCTTTCTTAAAAAGTAGAGAAAAATATTCCATCGAGACCAAACACTTTTGTATCAGAGTCAAGGCTCCGCTACATCAGATCTCATCTTAGTGAAGTTATCTTTACTGATAACATAGAATGTGTGGATTACACGCAGTATTCATACTCAAAAGTCTAATTAAACACAAATCATGAGCAAGGCTTACAAAGACCTCTGACAACATCGGAGGTGGGAACTAGCTAGGTGAAATGGAGGAATAATTCCTTTGTCATGATTGGAAAAATGGAGGAAACCAGGACAGTTTATAGCAGGAAAACATAGGGCGAATAACTTGTACAAAACAGGTAAGTCAACATTCGACCCAACTACAGATTGTATTTTAAATAAGGCCGTTATATCGACTGTAGAGTTTGCGAAAAATATCAATTTGTTCATGAGGTGTGTCCCTACTATAGGTTTTGTTTGATTTAATTGCCGATTCCTTAAACGGTTTCGACCCAATTGCAGAGGAAAAGTTAAGTATTGAAGGTCTGTGTTTGCTCTGTTCACAAGTTGATTTGTTTAATAAGACTTTTGAGCATGATTACTGTTCTTTAACTCCATAAATCACTGTCTATTCTTAAAGGGTACATAAGGTTGAAATAAACACTTCACCATAATTATGAAGTCCTAATATGATACTATCATAATAAAAGTGAAAATAGAAAATAGTAATCATGCTCAGCAATACAAATTGTGAGTAGAGCAAACACGTACGTTTGAAAGTTGAAATGGGATCATGTACACATCAAGAAGTAAGCACCCCCTGTCGACCAATAACACTGGTTGTGTCAACTTGTCATGATCGGGTACATGGGAAAAAATCCATAGACAATTGATTACGAGAATAATGATCTAACAATTTGAATGAAAGAAGTCGGTAAAGATTCTAGCTATCAGAAGACAGTTAATAATATCAGCAAGGTTATCGTACCTACCATACAATTTCCAAAATGATGACTTTAAACTAGAATTTTGATACCTTTTATCATCATTATTTGTCAGTAGCTTACTTAGTTTTAGAAATTGTTCGTACGTAGAGCATGCAACTGACAAACATACAATATATAATGTTACATTTTTTAACTCTCTTGAATATTAAAACCTATACAATAACTTCATGAACTTTCTATCTGAATAATATTTGAAATGTCCTACCCGTTCACCTCAGAATTCACTTAATATATAAAACATCACCTTTTTTAAGACCAAAATTGTATTTTAAAATGGGTGTCCGTTCTCCATAAAGTATATTTAAGCTCCTCTTTGGAATATTGAATATTGTACTATTTGTTTATTTGGCTTTCTGAATAATAAAAAAAAAGATAGGTTACCTTGTGTAATTGACCTAGCACTCCTATATGTACTTTCTAGACATACCAAATAAAAAAGGAAGTATGTTGTAACCTCGTGATATCCCCATCAAACTTTTAATAGTTTTTCATATATATATATCCTTATTTCGGCAATGCTAAACCCTCTCAGAAAAGACGTAATGGCGTTTTATATATTGTTTATTGGAGGTGTTTATCATTCTCACACAGGTAATGCAGATACTTTAGTAGAAATCTTATGCTTATTGTTATATCAAGGTCATGCTGTCCTGCAAAACGTGACGAAGAATGAACTTTGCTACTGTTTCATTGTCAATGAAATACTATAATTACGTGGAAAGGTTTGTTGAAATACTGACAAAATTAATGTAAGTCATCGTCAATGACTTAATTAGACAAATTTCTAGTCATTGATTCAGACAAAAATTGAATTTAAGTAGAATAAACATTTTCTCTTGTCATAAGAATCAAAGGGTCAAACCGTCACCTTTATAGGATTATATTTTCTTTCTGTGAAGAAAACCACATAAAATTCATGAGGAGTCCTTAGACATGTACATGTATATACGCAATTGAAACTTTAAAAACGAAGATGTAACGATGTGTTTTTGTTGGAGTAATGTTAATTATTATATTTGTAGAAACTAAATTGATATAAATAATGCTCCAATTTTCCTTATTGTTTACCTCTGTAAAAGTACACACCGTATTATTTTTTACAGAAACAAGAATTTACTAAAATTAACCTATTACTAATATTTACTTCTCAAACCTACATAAAACAGATACTGAATTAATTTTGTTCGTGTATTTGTATACGTATTTCTATTATTCTGCAGATGTGACAGAGTTTTCAACAAGTTTGGATAGCACAACCACAGACGTGGATATAAACACGGATGATTTTACTACAACAGGTACATGTATAAAATATATAATCTAAAATCAAAGTCAGATTGCAGTCATTGTATCTGAGTTTTTAACTGATTTTTTTATTCACCAGACATTTTCATTACATTCTATATTTTAACATCTCTTCAAAGGTGAAATAAGTTCATCAGACGATTCCGAAGGTGGGGAGTTTTCCACTACTCTCAATACAGTAAATTCTTTAAGCACAGACATTACAATTATCAAAAGTATGTGGTGTAGAAATGTATCCAACTTAAATATTTTAAGTAACTATTTATAATTTGTGCTTTCAAATAAATATATCTCTACTGCCTAATATTTATCAAATATTACTTTACTGAACAAAATACTCGCAAACCTGATTTTGCAAGCCTTTTTTTTAATCTTTTAAATTCTACAAAGTTAGATCTTTTTATGATTGTGTATTATGTGTTTCTTTGATTAAATGTTTATATATGTTTAGTGTTACTGGTCAGTTAAAGAGTTTCATTGGTCATGTTTCTTGCTAAATGTAAATAACTCGACTATTTAGAGTTTGTTTATATATACTTATAAAAAAAAATGTTATTATTTACATAACAAAGAAATGTCTTAATTAAAAAAAAAGAGAAGTCACCCGATTGTCGATTTCCGGGAGTATTGTACAGAGGAACCAAAAATATAACGAAAACAGGACGGGTGTGCCAAAGATGGACTGAGCAGAGTCCACATGAACACAATTATGACGTCTTCAGTCTTGCTCAAGAAAACTACTGTCGGAACTTTGATCGAGAGGAGCCGTGGTGCTTCACTAATGACCCCGATGTACGCTGGGAACTCTGTGACGTAGATGTTTGTGGTAAGCTGAGAAATGTCATGAAATTCCTATTATAAATGTACTATAATTATAGAATCAAATCTCTATCAAATGGAATATCTTACTGGTAATCTTTTTTCATATTTCATTTAATATTTAAAAATCATTTTAATTTTTTCTTCGTTTCAGCGACTCCTTGTCTGAATCAGTCTTTTTATAGGAATGACGTCATTAAACAGTGTTATTCAGGCAATACTCAGGAGGCAACTGCAGACTGCGCGTAATTTTTATATTTTTTAACCTTCTATTTGGAGATATGATTATCAATATTACTCTATTACATCAGTTTTTATGAGCTTCAGTATATTATAACGTCATAAACAGACAATTACTGTGTCCACCAACCTATCAGATAAATCAAATTGTTTAACAATCTTTTTTTTTTCATCTGTCTTATTTCTGTTTATTTGATTAAAAAATTTCAAAATATGCTGTGTTTCACTATATTGAGTGAAACAAGGAGCAATGAAGACCCTTATATAATATAAGTATAAAATAAATGCCTTCAAATATTTACACATTTTAGAGTTTGCAAATCTTAAAGTTAATTTTTTTTTCATATTTTTTTTCATATTTTTTCATGAATTGCTTTACAAGAATGAACAAAAAACTGGATTTTGAGATGGTCCCTAAAAATACCCCGTCGGTAGATTGTCCTAAAATTTGGAATATATACTGAAGTCACTTTGGGTTACAGTTGAGAGGAAATAGTTTTCTATCGTAGTTTAATAAATAAATCCCGAATTGGACCCCTTATGTTGGTACATAAACTCTCATTCCATTTAAAAAAGAAATTATTTTCAAAATTAAAATGCTTTTTTTAACCTGTCAAAATTGTAAGCGAACACAAAACATACGACGAAATAAGTTAATATATCGAACTATAAGCGATCTGATAAATTCTTTAAGTGATACGAATAGTGAACATTGCAAAAAACGGACCTCCTGAAAGTATCATTTAATGGCAAAACATTAGACTTTTGCTGAAAATGTATGAAATTTTTCCAGGATCAATTCAATCACAAGATTTGGATAGTGAGTACTTTTGTGATTATGTGTTCCATGGCTTAGTGAAAGTCAGAAAATATTATCAACTTTGTTCAGTCCTCATTGATATATTTATCTTCAACTGTTGAACATATAAATCCAAATTTGAAATACAGTGTACTGTAGTAATGCTTAGACTAAGAAAATTTAAAAGCAATTTTTATTTTTATGTTATAGAATATTCGGGGGTATATAGTTTTTGCCCAGTCCGTCCGTCTGTCTGTCTGTCTGTCAGTCTAGATGTCTGTCAGATAGTCAACAAAAACATTAATATTGCCAATAATATTTGATTTGTTTGGAGCTATGGCTTTCACATTTCACATGTGTATTTCTTGTGATAAGACCTTCCTTTGGGTACCAGCATATTAGACCTATTGACCTTGACCTTGTAGTTTGACCCACTTTTGCAAAAATTTACACACATTTTATCTTGGCCATAACCTTTGAACAGTTGGTGCTAGGGTTTTCATATATCCATCATGACAAGACCTTTCCGTGAGTGTAAATATTTTTGACCTTCTGACCATGACCTTATAGTTTGATCCAAATTTAAAAGAACTTTAACCTTGACCATAACTTTTGAGCAATTAGAACTATGGCTTTCAAATTTTACAAGTATATCACTTTTGACAAGATCTTCCTATGGATAAATACAGTTTTGACATTTGACTTTGGAGTTTGACCTACTTTTGAAAAACTTTAACCTTTGCCATAATTTTTGAGCAGTTGATGCTAGGGCTTTTATATTTTGCATTTGTATTTCTTATGACAAGGTCTTCCCCGGCCTACCATTAATTTTGACCTTTTACTTTGATCTCTGAGTTTGACCCACTTTTAGAAAACATTAACCTTGACCATAACTTTTGAATGATTTGTACTTGGGCTTTCATATTTACCAGGTATATCCATTGGGTATTCCTTGGGTAACAATATTTTTTATCTATTACTTTGCCCTTTCAAGTTTGACTTGCATTTAGGAATCTTTAACCTTTGCCATAATAATAAGCTGCCATACGGGGGCATCAGTGTTTCACAAACACATCTTGTCCATTTTATTGTAATTTTGAAAAATCCTGAAATTACAAAAGAGCTACTTTTCCAGATTAATTTCAACATTTGGCCTTTGCTTGAAGAAACAAATAGAAATTTCCTCTGATGTGAAGTGTCCTGAAATAAAATTGAGATCAATTCTTCTGCAAGTGCAAAGCAAAATAGAGAAGTCAATAGGAAAGTCTATATCTGAGTGTAAGTATTGATATTTCATTAAGAAAATCAGGAAAATATCAATTTTAGTCTCTGACTGACATTTAAATTCTCTGATGAAGATAATAATCGAACAAGATTAACGGTTTGATAAAAAATATTAACCCTCATTGGGAAAAACAGCAGTTCAACAATTTGGTAAAGTGAGGATTAGAATTTTGAAAAGAGTTCATATATGCAAACTGCAGGAAATTGTTTTGATAATAGGTAAAAATTTGACTTTATTAAACACGAAAATGTTGTGAGTTTCTTAATTGTTTATATCAATTGTTCCATTGCGCTTCTCAAGAAATTGATGTCCCATCAAGAAAAGCAATAAAAAAATACCTGAAAAAATTAAAATACTATTAAAATTGACTTAAAATTAAGGATTTTACCAAGAGATGATGTCAAAATTGTTTTTACGCAGTACTTTTAATAGTGTATGTATTAGCCTTTTATTTTAATGTTGTTCTTTGGTTGTTTTCACAGGTTTTAAATCCCCATGTACATTTAAAAAACGCAGTGTTCCTTTTAAGTTTACGTAAAGACCATTTATTTTATTGGTGTTCTTTGGTTGTTTTAACAGGTTTTAAATTCCCATGTACTTTTTTTCTTTTAAAAGCAGTATTCTTTTTATAGTTAATGTAATAACCTTTTATCTTATTGGTGCTCTTTGGTTGTTTTAACAGGTGTGAAGTCCCCTTGTACTGATCCTACTTACACCGATGCCGTCAGGTGGATTAATTTTGCGGGTCCTTGCTTGCAAATATTTCCTGTTACTAATTTGGCCATGAACACACCAATGAATATCATCTGCCGGTACGTCATTCTTTTTATTAGAAAACTACGAAAAAGGACCAATGCAAGGTAATTTGAATTATCATACCTGTAATGAACTTCTAAAATACATAAAAATCCTTACATTCAAAGATATATAGCGGGTCCTAGTGAATGATCCACCAAGTCTCTTTTTTCTATCCTCACCAAATAATAACATCGGTGAAGGAGAAATTTCAGGAGTACTGTACAACAACATATTTTAAGAGGTATTCGAGAATAGTGATTTGGGAGTTTGCTCTAGAGTCGCAGAGTAAGCAGTTGATCCTTAAGTCGCGGGTTCGAATCTCACTGGGGAACGTGGAGACTCGCTCTTCGGATAAGACCGTCATTTCACGGTATAAACCGAGGTCCAGTGTCGCAGTAGCTGCTAGCACAAAAAAGATCCCTCACTTCACAAAGGCCGTAAGTGCCGAGTACAGGTCTAAATTTGCAGCGCACCATCGTCAAATTGTGATGTTTCAATATGAGTGAAAAATTCTCGAAGGGACGTTATACAAACAAAGAAACGAAAAACAAAGATACATACATGTATATAAACAAATACTCTATAAGTGGTGTTAATCAGATTGATAATTGATAACTTTATAGAACTTTTTTTTAGAAAGTTTAAAATCAATAGGATCAACACGAACGACTATACAACAATTCCCATCGATTTATAAAATTCAAAGCATTGTGATGTCATACCCAGCTGTGTTGCAACCACTATTGAAATAGCGTTCACTATTGAAATAATTATTTCAATAGTGGTTGAGAGTTCATTTCAAAACCAAACACAGGTTGTAACAACTATTGAAATAGCGTTCACTATTGAAATAATTATTTCAATAGTGGTTGAGAATTCATTTCAAAACTAAACTCAGGTTTTAACCATTATTGAAATAACGTTCACTATTGAAACAATGATTTCTATAGAGGTTTTGAATGCATTTCAAAACCTAATTAGGCTGCAACCACTATTGGTTGCATTTGCATTTCAAAACTAAACACAGGTTGCAACCATTATTGAAATAACGTTCACTATTGAAAAAAATTATTTCAATAGTAGATATTTTAATATCGGTAGTATTAATGCAACCACTATTGAACCACTATATAACGATCACTAATGAAATAATGCTTTCAATAGTAGTCATTATTTTTATAGCGGTTTTATATGTGTGACCACTATTGAAATAACACCCACTGTTTACAATACAAGTAATGCTTATACTAATTTCTCTTTAGGTTTTGTTTTTAATGTCTTGAGGAGTAGGCGTTGGATTTACTATCCATATTTGTAGTGCAGGCAAGCCCATGTATATGCGAGAATTTATCTCTGTTGTACATTTTTTTTTATTAAAATAACCATATTTTCATCAAAAAGTTGTGCACATAGATGTCAGTCTTCTTCTTTTTAATGTAGATATTTTGATTTCTACAAATATGTGTATCTATGATCCTTTTTAGCTCACCTGAGCTGAAAGCTCAAGTGAGCTTTTCTGATCACCCGTTGTCCGTCGTCCGTCCGTCTGTCCGTCTGTCCGTCCGTCTGTCCGTCCGTCTGTAAACTTTTCACATTTTCAACTTCTTCTCAAGAACCACTGGGCCAATTTTAACCAAACTTGGTACAAAGTATCCTTGGGGGAAGGGGAGTTTAAATTGTTAAAATAAAGGGCCAAGTCCCCTTACAAGGGGAGATAATCAAGAAAAGACAAAAATAGGGTGGGGTCATAAAAAAATCTTCTTCTCAAGAACCACTGAGCCAGAAAAGCTGAAACTTATGTGGAAGCATCCTGGTGTAGTGTAGATTCTAAATTGTTCAAATCATGACCCCCGGGGGTAGGGCGAGGCCACAATAGGGAATCCAAGTTTTACATTGAAATATATAGGAAAAATCTTTAAAAATCTTCTTCTCAAGAACCACTGAGCCAGAAAAGCTGAAACTTATGTGGAAGCATCCTGGGGTAGTGTAGATTCTAAATTGTTCAAATCATGACCCCCGGGGGTAGGGCGGGGCCACAATAGGGAATACAAGTTTTACATTGAAATATATAGGAAAAATCTTTAAAAATCTTCTTCTCAAGAACCACTGAGCCAGAAAAGCTGAA